ACTGATTGATGAAAATACCTGGTACTTTTGTCCCCTCTATTAAGCCCTGCCTCTCTGGATTTTTGCCAATACAACCCCTCCTCAGCCTGTTTTGCAACCTCCAATTGAGTTTCAAACTCTTTCTTCAGCTGCAAATTTGCAGCAGTAGGAGCAGAAAAACACTCAGCTTTTAGCAATAGTAGCTGCTTCTCTATCTCCTTTGCCTGAGAGGGAATATTAGCAAAATGATCTCTATTCAGCTTAATCAGAACCTTTTTGACCTCTTTAAGTTTCTTCTGCACAATAACCCAGGGATGCCCACAACAACTTGCTGACCACGCTTTCTCAACCATTGGCAAGAACTCAGGGTGATCCCCCCAAAAGTCAAAATACTTAAATGGCTTTGGGAGAGATTTCTCTGAGACCTTAGTTTTAATCAAGATACCACAGTGATCTGAAAAAGTGCCTGGAATGGCCTCAGTGACGCAATGTGGAAACTCAGAAAGCCAAGAAACATTCACCAAAGCCCTATCTAACCGTTTAGCTATAGGGTTATGCTGCTGATTGTTGACCCAGGTAAACAAAGGTCCCAAGGTGTTCACATTCTCCAATTCCATGTTGTTCCTCCAATCCTCAAAATCTGTCATACTAGAAGATACCTGCACCTGATTTGAGGCTTCACCTGGCTTCATGATTGCATTAAAATCTCCTCCAACTAACCAAGGGGCTCCAATTACATTAATTTGCCCTATTGCAGAGTATGTTTCCCTACGCTCCACTTCATCATTAGCTCCATAAACAGCAGTTAAAAAGAACGAGTCACCCCCCTGCTCCTGAACCATGGTATGTACAAATTTTTTGTCTGGCTTCAGTATAGTCACCTTAATTTCCGGTTTTCAGAACAACCATGCTCGACCCAAATCCGAATCACAATAACTCAGATATCTTTCCCATCCAACTAAAAAGCCTTCTGCAATATCCTCAGACTTAGCTTGCCTCACTCGGGTTTCCAGAACAGCTACAAAACTAATATTTAGACGCCTCACTTCTTTATTTACCATAATAAAGCTTAATTACTGTTCATTAGTGTTTTGTAGTCCCATGCGGGTGTGTGTACCTTAGCTGGCGGTTTACAAAGCATACCAATCTTTTTCAATTTACTTGTGTGTCTATCTGATATTTTTTTACCATTACCAATGTTTAAGTTATTAGCATCTCAATCCTTTTCAATTTCTTTATATGTTAAAGTTTAACTACAATATTCATCATATTATCGAAACAAAGTTTCGTAAGATAAGTTTCTACATAAAATTTTAATGATACTTTCAACAAATTGATTTTATTATTAAGCCATATATTACAAAAGTTTTATGACGCACCGTTCCATAAGAATAGTTAACTCTTATATAATAATTTAATAAAATGTGATACTTTTCATAACTTGATTTATTATTTGCGCGTAGTATAGTTCCATATTGCAAGTTAACTTTTATATAGTAGTTTAATCAAATATGATACTTTTAATAACTTGATTTATTATTAAACCACACATAATGGAAGATTTAGTAACACCATCCTACAACATTTAAGTAAATTACAAATACATTACGTAAAATTTATAGAGGGATAGTTATTTCGTATCTGTCAATTAAACAAAATGCGGTACGTTTTTCTTCCATGATTATTAAGAAACAAACATATTGCATATGTCTTCCGTGATATAAGTTTTAACTAAAATTCATTGAAGGTAAGTTAACTTTTACATAATAGTTTTATAAGATGTTATACTTTTCTAAAACTTGATTTTATTATTAGACCACACATTATGGAAGATTTTGAAATACCGTGTCATGAACTTTATGGAGGGATAATTATTTCTTATGCATCAATTAAGCAAAAGTACTAGGAAAGTCTTCCACAATGAATAAAATACTACGTAAAATATATGGAAGTATCTTCTCCGAAACTAAATTATTAAATGAATGAACCTCATTTTAACTATAATTAGTTTCTCATTGATAAAAAAAAATATAATTAGTTTCTTACAGTCGCGAAGCGCGGGCCAAAAAACTAGTATGGATGAAAGATATAACATATATCAAAGTTGCGCGCAAGAGATCACTGCGTTAAGTTGTTTCAACTTCAGGGCTATGTCTTAACTTACCTCAATATATTCTTTGATGGTTTTTCTCGAACCCAAAGAACTCCATATCTTTCCCCCTTTCTTTGGGAATAAGTCACATTTTAATGAGAGAGATAATTACTCCCATAAATAAAATATAATCTATTAAGATAATTATTCCTAATTATCTCCATAATATTCCTTTTATTAATTATCCATCTTAATTTCGCATTACGGGGAAAATACTGGATAATTAATTAGGAATTTCATTATAGTTTTTCAAAGCTATTCATCCCAACACTCTCTCGTCAGGCAACCTGCCAAAAATTTCACGACCAGAACCTCTTCACTCTCTATTCATTTACATGGTTAACTTCTTTACAAACTCAAATGTTAACTTACGGGACCACAGCTGCCTCGAGTATATCTGGACGGGACTGAAGCAAATGCTCAAGCTGAGATGGCGCGACCTGATCCAATCAAATCCATCCAAACAATAACACGGTATGTAGATCGCCAGAAAGGGTACCGAGTACTGACTAACTGACCAAACAGTTTTCGTAATATCCCGCTTTTTACACATAGCCTGGGTTTAGGTTTGGTTGATCGAATTAGACCCACTTTCGACCATAAATGATTCTGAAAGATGCTAATTAATATGATGTGATACCAAACCTGAAAGCCTCTGCATTTGATCAGTTCCTTGATCCTGTCCAGCACAAATAGGAAACCTTCGTCGTCAATGTAGCAAAGGTCTCCTGTTTTCAACCACCCTTCAGCATCCAAAGTTCTGGCTGTGGCTTCTTCATCACCTGCATAACCTGCAGTTTAACAGGAATCCTAGTGACGTAAGGATTTGAAGCTTGTTCAGAGTATTAACTAATGAGCTTAATTAGAAGTTCACCAAGAACCCGAATCTGGCCACTAAAATATCACATCGATTAAGCAATTACCCTTCATAATGGATGGCCCTCTAACCCAAATCTCTCCAGCTTTTCCTGGTGGCAGAGGGATTCCAGTTTCAGGATCAACGATTTTCGCTTCGGTTTCGGGAGTGAGGAGTCAGCTTCCCTGTTGCACCTCCCACCTTGCTTTAGGTGGGCCCCACTGTTGAGAACACCCTCCCCGTCGATTCTGGGGTAATTAGCATAAATGGTCACAAACCTTTGCACTTAGTACAAAACAGTCACAAACCTTTAATTTGTAACCATTTGATAACAAAATTTTTTACTTAGAACAAAACGGTCACAAATTAAACAGTGTGACCATTTCATACCAGTTCAAACTTTTGTTACCGTGTCGTTGCAAATTAGACTTTTGGTGACCGTTTTGTACAAATTAAGTTCAAAAGTTTGAACGCTCAATCACCGTTACAATTCGCTCTAGTTGTATGGTGGTTTTGTTAATGTATGTGAATGATATGATCGCCATAAAGGATGACAATGAGAGAATTCAATGGCTCACAAACGGGTTCCAGACTGCTTTTTAGTTGAAAAAACTTTGTCTACTTTCTTGGTATCGAAATTTGTTTTTGATAGATTGGTATCGAAATTGAAAGGTCAACTGAGGGCATTCTTATTTGGCAAAGCAAATATGTCGATGAACACATGAACTGACATCTTATATGTTGTTCAAGTGGTTAGTGTCATATACTTAACGAACAAACTACCCGACCTCAAAACATGACAAACATTTAATTTGTAACGATTCGGTAACAAACCTTTTCATTTAAAACAAAACGGTCACAAATTAAATAGCGGTGACCATTTTATACAATTTCAAAGTTTTGTTACCATATTGTTACAAATTAAAGGTTTGTGACCGTTTTGTACTAAGTGCAAAGGTTTGTTACCATTTATGCTAATTACCCGTCGATTCTGTCAACCCGTCGTAAGCCTGCATGGTTTCATCAACTAAAATTTAAAATTAATATAATCCCAAACACTTTCATTTCACTTTTTCAATTCCAGCAACACCTATATTCCACCCTATAACCCAGAGTTTTAAATTATGTTTGGGTAAATACAATTTAATATCCAAATCGTCAACTTTCCGTTCGTTTAACCGTTAGTTGACACTTCAAAAAAGTTCGAAGTACGACGCTTCATCAATATCCATCGATATCTTCTCTGAAAAACCACCAGCATATCGTGGTTCCAAACCCGAGAAGTCCATGACTCCACCACGATGGTATAGAAATCTAAATATTCAGTCATCTGCAATGCCAAACAAGAAAACAAAGTTGTATTGTGACAATTTCCCCTAAACAAAGCTTTTTTGAAGTGTCAACCAACAGTCAAACGGACGGACAGTTGACGATTTGGATATTAGATTGTTTTCGAAAAGGTTTGGTTATTATATTGTTTAAAATGAAAGGTTTGGATATTAAATTGTATTTACCCATTATGTTATGTGAACTTCTCATACTTTTTGTGGTTAGTTTATAAAAGATAATGTTTGTTTAACGTTCTAGCTCTAAAAATTAGGGATGGCAATTTACCCACCCATGGGTAATTTTGCCCAAACCCAAGTAGACCCATCTATTATGGGTAGGGTTTGGGTGATGTGTGTATGGGTTTGGGGTTTATATGGGTTTGGGTTAGATATGGATATTATCTAAATGGGTATGGGTTGGATATGGATATCCATTTACTTGAGGGTGTCTTAACTACACATGCAAAAATTGGACTTATTTGTAAAACTTGAAAATTTTAGGTACCAAAATGTAAGACCAAAAAAATTTAGGTACCCAAATGTAATTTTCCATCGATATTTTGAGGACTTATATGCAAAAAAAATAAATTTAGGTACTAAATATGCAACAACTCGAGGTATTGATACTGACGGTTCTTAACAAAGAACACCATTTGAAACACTACGACTATCTAAATCAATGATTGTTTGGTATATATGCAGAGTGATATTCTTGATATTTTCGACTGTTAATACATTTTAGTTTATCAAAAAATTTCAACGTAAGATTATATTAAAAAAACTATTTTATCATATTTATTTTTTTCGAGGTGAACCCACTTTAAACGAAATCCTGGCTACGCCACTGGTTGGGTGTACTCCAGAAATTTCATAAACTTGTTACAACAAAGTAACTATTACACTTCATCCGTCTTGTTGGATTTTCTTTCTTCTTTCTTTCCTTTTCTTTTTGGTCGGACGCCTGGCGAGCTGTTTCTTCAGATCAAGAATTTGCTCCCGTACTTGTTGCTTTCTTGTACGCAGATCATTCAGCTGACTCTGCACTGAGCTATGCCCTTCCTCCAGACGTTTCAAACTTTCCCCAACACTCTTAATCTCAACCTGCAACCTCCGACGATCTTCCTTTGAGTCCTCTGCCTCCTTATGCTCTGCCTGAAATGATCCATATGAATGAAGATATAACATATATCAAAGTTTCGATCATTGCGCTAAGCTGTTTCAACTTCAGGGCTGTGTCTCACTTACCTCAATATATTCTTTGATGGTTTTTCTCGAACCCAAAGAACTCCATATCTTTCCCCCCACAACACAGTTAGCAACAACTTTCTCCCTCTCCATTTCCAGCTGTTTCAGCTGCCGGCGAAGCTCTTGATCTCCAGCCCCGTCTTTGCCCGTAGCCATATCTGTACTGGATCTGATCAGCATGTACTGTGCTCCTCTGATCTGAAAAACAAAACCGCATTAATTAGCTTTTCTTACAGTATTACCACTATTTTACCTACACTCGCTAGTAATTAACGCAGAATTTCAAACAGACTTACTTTCGACTCAATATCTTCAAGTGGCGACCACGAATTAGTAGTGTTGCGGTCCTTTCCCTCTTTTGTTTTGATTTCCCTCAGGAGTCGTCTCTCTATCTGAAGGCTTTTCCTTCCATGCTTCATTTTGAAGTTCAATCTCTGTACCGTGACGTTTTAGTATGTTGATATAAGCGGTAATGAATCAATCAGCAGATGTTCATTGAAAAGCTGAAAAACAAAAAAAAGTACACATGTTCATTACCCGGTAATCGATTTCTTGCTCTTCTAAGAATGAATGCTTGATGGCATTGTCTCGGTATGCATTGTTTGCGAAGCTCAGCTTGTCCATCGCAAGATGGAGAGGGTCCAGTCTTTCCTTTCTGCAGGCAGCAGTGCATCTCATTGATTCAATGTGACGTTCCAGATTGGAGAGGGACCATGTTCTCGAGGCTAATTCAAGCTGGTGAAACATTGGAAACGAGTTTGATTAGTACTGCAATGACAACAATCAGAAAAGAGACTATTTTTGAAAGTTGTTTGTTCCATACCTTTTGCTTTTCTAGTTTCATAAGAACCTCTGGATATTCTCTGTTTATCAGCTCCATTTGTTCCTCTGCTTCTTGTAAACTGCAGCTTAACAGATCTGTTTCTTGGGGTGATTCTGCAGCAACCTCCATGACCACAGTGGAAACAGTATGTGGAATGTATGATGACATGATATTGGCTTGACTTGAGGGTATGGTAATGGGAGTTTTGGTGGCTCATTTAAATGCAGCAAATTAGTTGGAGTAGGGGAAGTCCAAATAAAAAAATAGTAAGAGAAGTAGGTTGACAACGACAAGCCCTTAAAGTCTTTGACAGCCTCCCTTGCCTTCTACTCCAAGGCAGTGCCCTCACGGAGGTGGTCAACGAACTAGCTGGTCTACTTCCATTTCCATAAACTATGTGCAAGTGACAATTTTGAAACAAGTTTCAAGCAGCTCCAAGCATGGTGGGATCATTGGTGGAAAGTACAATTATATTCCACGGAACATGAATGTGTTTGATAGGAATAATAATATATATCTATATATTGTTTGGATGTATCGGTTAAAACTTAAAAGGTAATATGAAAGAAGAAAGTCACAAGAGCAAGCAGCTTTTGGTTGGTGCTTTTAAAAAAGTATTTTTTTTAAAAAATTAGAGTGTTTGAAACTATAAAATGTACTTTTTAATATAAGAGGTTATTTAATCGTACTGTGCGTCTGCTAAGCAAGATCAACATGATCACCCCCTACAACAACGGCCAAAATAGTAGCCTGGGGCGCAGTTTGATTGTCCTAAACCCTCGTTTAGGACATCTGTTTCTTTTCGTTTCACCAATTGGTTAAAAATAAAAGATCAACCTTTCTACGTAATTTGGATCTCGTGGAGTAATTCATCATCAATAAAGTTGGTCGACCCTAACTTTATGGGTCGTACCTAGTATCAAGCATCACAGAATGACTTGAAGATGGCACCATCAACTGCTTCTGCAAGTAAAGCTAATCCTAAACCCTCGTACTCTATCAATTTGCGTTTCAAAAAAGGAGTGGTTGCAGTCCTTTGTGAGTGAAAGTAGTCTTATCGTACAACCCTACCTGCTTATCTTAAACAACATTGTGATGATATTTTTGAAGGGGGTATCGTCGTAGTTTTGAACCTTCATATGGGGAATCTTTGGTTACGTCCATTATTCCACCCATCTTTGACCATGTATGTTTTCCTAGGAATGTCCCTATGCCAACCAATACACGTTACTCCTTTGCATTACCTTTGTTTGTTCACTCTACCGCCATTGTCTTGTTTTCACCCTCACCACCCACCTCATGTCCTTCTTCATGTTATCTTCTCCCAATATCTATAGATCGAAACCTTGTGAGTGCATGTGCGGTTCCATGTGTTTGCTTGCATTTCGAATCCCCGAGCTTCATATGTCCATCTGATACATGCTTGTGATAATTTAGCTCTTATGCTTCCGTTGCCATATCTTTTGAGATGGCTATTGTTTGTATGTGTTTCGATAGAGTTGAGATTACATGAGATGAATGTTCAATGATTGCTTCGTGTAGTGGATGTTTGTTATGTGTGTATGGATCGAGGAAGGGGGGCCTCTACTTGTGCCATGACACATAGCTAGTGTATGTGGGTGTCTAGCTAGACATCGGTTTCATTTTTCAATTCTAAGCTCCTATGGAAGAAACTAAAGTGTGGGGTGGCCAATTGGTCTTCTCCTAGTGACACTCTCTTCAAGTGCGCATCACGATGATACATGACAGGCAAGGTGCAAAATGCAAAGCAAGCATTGGCCTCCTAACTAGCATCTAGCCCGATTAAGCGTTGCATATGCGGGGCAAGGCATTGGAAGTAAAAAATTATTGGCTAAATTACATGTTTGGTCACTCAAATTATACAAATCTTTCACGTTTGCCACCCAAATTACTTTTCTTTCATATTTGCCACTAACTTTACAAATCGTTTCACCATTAGTCACCGACCATTACACTCCGTTAATTTTGTCCTACGTGGCAGTCAACTATTAAGTTTGACCGTTAACTAGATGACGTGGAAATTAAAAAAAAAAAAAATTACTTTTCCACCTCATCATTCCATTTATTTATCTATATGATATATCATGCTTCTTATTTAATAAAAATGATTTAAATTACAAAAACAAATAATAGGAGAGATACAGATACCGCATCTCCATGGCCGTGCTCCCACAAGGAGAATTGAAACTCCCACGGTGCTTGAAAAGCAGGAGGCAGCCATGCTTGTGAGAGCAGTATTCGGCAAAATTCATGAGCCCATTTCGTAGCCAAACTCAGCCGTCCCCGTCAACTGCAACTCCCATATCCTCTTTCGTCCGATCGGCAGTGTCGATTCCTCTTTCGTCGCCTATGACGAAAGCCTAGGTTTGGGTTCTTGCGATGGGGGTTTTTGGAATAATTATGATGGGTTCTGGAGATGGGGTTCTTGGTTGGTATTCTGGATCTGGATTCAGTATATAATTTTGTTTGTTGCAGGTGATCGCTCCAGCAACGGCAATGGAGGAATCATCCCTCACAAAGATCCAACTAAGCCCCTGCTATGATTGACGGTGGGAGACGACGGAGATTCAACCCAATCCATCGTAGCTTCTATCTCCCGGTCGTCCATTCCCCCTCTCTTCTCCGGTGGGGAATTTCAATTTCCATCGTAGTTTCTATGATCCGTCGGGATTCTCCTCGTTGGGGAGCTGTACTTGACGGGGAGGCCGGAGAGCTTGGCGAGATGGTTGGACGGCGACTATCCGGGTCTCTCTGTCAATGTAGCAGAGGAGGTTGTTGTGTGGGTTGAAAATTACTTTTTGAAATTTTTTACTTTTTATTAAATAATTAATATGATAAATTATATAGACAAAATAAGTGGAATGATGAGGTGGAAAATAAATTTTATTTTTTTAAATTTCCACGTCATCTAATTAACAGTCAAACTTTATAGTTGACTGCCACGTAGGACAAATTTAACGGAGTGTAACGGCCGGTGACTAATGGTGAAACGATTTGTAAAGTTAGTGGCGAATAAGAAAGAAAAGTAATTCAGATGGCAAACATGAAAGATTTGTATAATTTGAGTGACCAAACGTGTAATTTAGCCAAAAATTATTATATAATTAAAAGCACAAGCACTTTTCACTGTTCATAAGAAAAAATAGGCTATTTTTTCTCTACAGGTACTGTTCACAATAGGGTTCTATCCCATATACCCAATTTTACCATAAGTAATTTTTTCTCCTTTTTTGCAATATTATTAATATGATTTTCATTCGCTACAACCACTTCTATGATAAGTCTACAATTCATAAGCAATTATATGAGTTTTATTCTCTACAACCACTTCAATGATATGTCGAAAATTCATAAGCAATTATTATTAGACCACATATTATGAAAGCACAAGCACTTTTCACTGTTCATTAAGAAAAAAAAAATATTTTTCTCCACGGGTACTGCTCACAATAGGGTTCTATTCCATATACCCAATTTTACCCTAAGCCCTTTTTTCTCCTTTTTTGCAATATTATTCATATGATTTTTATTCGCTACAACCACTTCTATGATAAGTCTACAATTCATAAGCAAATATATGAATTTTATTCTCTACAACCACTTCAACGATAAGTCTAAAATTCATAAGGATAATTATTATTAGACAACATATTATGAAATATTAATGTAACAAAATTAAATAAAAGTTACTTAAATTTAAATTTTTCCGATGTTACTTACTATAACTTGATTATACAATTAGGCCACACATTATGAAAATTTTATGTAATAACGTTCTATAACTATTACATGAGTTTTACTTAATGATGAAGACACTACGTAAAGTTTATGGACAAATAATCATTTATGTATCAACTAGCTTTTTACCCGGCTCGTTGGCCGGAGAGATTTATTTCATAATTTATATTAATTAACTTATTTATATGTTTAAATCATTTTGGATCTTCTAAATATTTTGTGTTCTTGATTCATAAAAGAATTTGTAGTATGTCTATATTGGAAATTTCCAATATTTAGCACACTCACTTTTGATGCTTTGGTTTTCTAATCATAAATTATGTTGCTGTCACGTCCCATTTAAAACTTATGTCAAAATTTGTCAACCAAAACACTAATATTTAGCGTATGCCAACCTGAACCACACACACATATGTATGTATGTGTGTGTATATATATATATATATGGTGCCTTCTACGGTACCCCGGGTGAAATTCGGGGTACCGCATACCTTGAGTATGAAAACGCTATCCAGACCTCGAATTAGCAGGATGTTTGGGCATGATACTATACCCTAACCCTTAATGAGTGAACCCTAGGTCCTAATTATCTAAATCATAAACTATAAGCCCTAAGATGGTTCATTCATTTTTTGCCTATATTTGGACGAATCACAACCGTCGATTATTGTTTCTAATTAAATTGACCTTGGGGTATAAGATTTAGAGAATTAAGACCTAGATTTTGATCTTTGAGGGTTAGAGTATAATATCATGTCCGAAAGATTAGCCAATTCAAGGTTTGGATAGCGTTTTCATACTCAAGGTATGCGGTACCCTGGATTTCACCCTGGGTACCATAGAACTCCCCATATATATATATATATATATATATATATATATATATAGTTAAAGCTAGCGTGCGCTGTGAGTACGGTATACTCTTGCGTTCACAATACCATACGACCATTGAGTTTTACTATTTAGACTCAGGATTTTTTTGGGGTATGATACTATACCCTAACCTTTAATAGGTGAACTCCATTCCCTAATTCTCTAACCTCTAATTTATGCAAATACTTTGTCCTACCTATCTTCTATCGTATCTTGAGTAAAATCAAAAGATAGTAAACCATGATATTATATATATATGTATATATGTGTGTGTGTGTGTGTGTATATATGGTAGACTCAAATTTATCCAGATACTTCGTCAGACCTATCTTATCTCGCCTAATACTCATATTAAAGTGCTACTTGCCTATCCCCCACCCTCGGGATAGAGATCCCGCTTTTACCCCCATAACGTCAGACAACCATTAGGGTTGTTTATCGTTTGATATGTAATATATAAAGAGGTAAATCCTAAGATCCTGCTATTTATTTCTCATCCTCTTCCGTCGCCCCCTTTATGGAGAATAAAAGGGTAGGGATGACAGGATCATAACTCCATATAGTTTTATTCTGTTCATCATATCGCT